GCAACCTCCGCCTCCTGGGTTCAAGCAATTCTCCTGCCTCAGCCTCCTGAGTAGCTGGGATTACAGGCAAGCACCACCATGCCCAGCTACTTTTTTGTATTTTTAGTAGAGACGGGGTTTCACCATGTTGACCAGGATGGTCTCGATCTCTCCACCTCGTGATCCACCCGCCTCAGCCTCCCAAAGTGCTGGGATTACAGGCTTGAGCCACCGCGCCCGGTCCTTTCCCAAGTTTTTATTCAGTAATGTCATGTTGGGAGGAATAGTTACACTGCAGAAATCATCAAGTACTGCAAATCAAGCCTTTATCTCCAAAGAGCAGGTTGTTAAACATTTACCTATTTATCACTGGGCTAAATTCATCAATTATGCTTCAAATCAGCTTTTCAGTAAGTCATTCTTTGTTTTTTTTGAGATGCAGGGTCTCACTCTGTGGCCCAGGCTGGAGTGCAATGGTGCAACCTTGGCTCACTGCAACCTCCAGCTCCTGGGTTCAAGTGATTCTCCTGCCTCAGCCTCCTGAGTAGCTGGGACTACAGGTGTGCGCCACCATCCCCAGCTAATTTTTTATATTTTTAGTAGAGATGGGGTTTCACCATGTTGGCCAGGTTGGTCTCGAACTCCTGACATCAGATGATCCACCCACTTCAGCCTCCCAAAGTGCTGGGATTACAGGCAGAAGCGACCATGCCCAGCTACAGTGGGTCATTCTTTAAGAATGAATAGCCAGGGTTGGGTGTGGTGGCTCACATCTGTAATCCCAGCACTTTGGGAGGCAGAGGTGGATGGATCACTTGAGGTCAGAAGTTCGAGACCAGCCTGCCCAACATGGTGAAATCCTGTCTCTAATAAAAATACAAAAATTAGTCAGGTATGGTGGCTTGCACCTGTAATCCCAGCTGCTCGGCAGGCTGAGGTGAGAGAATCACTTGAACTTGGGAGATGGAGTTTGCAGTGAGCCAATATCGTGCCACTGCACTCAAGCCTGAGCAACTGAGCAAGACTCTGTCTCACAAAAAAAAAAAAAAGATAAGGAAAGTTATATAGGCCACCAGGCATGGTAGCTCATGCCTGTAATCTCAGCACTTTGGGAGGCTGAGTGAGGTGGTGGATCACCTGAGGTCAGGAATCCAAGACCAGCCTGGCCAACATGGCAAAACCCCACCTCTACTAAAAATACAAAAATTAGCCAGGAGTGGTGGCATATGCCTATAATCTCAGCTACTCGGGAGGCTGAGGCAGGAGAATCACTTAAATCTGGGAGGCAGAAGTTACGGTAAACTGAGATTGCGCCACTATACTCCAGCCTGGGCGACAGAGCATGATTCTGTATCAAAAAAACAAAAACAAAAACAAAAAACAGAGAAAGTTATATGGCACATTTGTGAGAGGTATAACAAAATTCTCATCTACCATAACAGGAAGTCAATAGAATATTATACAGTTGGCCAGGCACAGTGGCTCATGCCTGTAATCCCAGCACTTTGTGAGGCCGAGGTCGGCAGATCACCTGAGGTCGGGAGTTTGAGACCAGTCTGTCCAACATGGGGAAACCCTGTCTCTGCTAAAAATACAAAATTAGCCAGGTGTGGTGGGGCATGCCTATAATCTCAGCTACTCAGGAGGCTGAAGCAGGAGAATTGCTTGAATCCAGGAGGTGGAGGTTGCAGTGAGCCAAGATTATGCTATTGCACTCCAGCCTGGGCAACAAAAGCAAAACTCTGTCACTCTGTCTCCAAAAAAAAAAAAAACAGAGAGAATATTATAAAAATTAATGGGTGAAATATCTCTTTAAGTACATTACTTAGAAATACAGAAGAATGAGGCCAGGCGCGGTGGCTCAAGCCTGTAATCCCAGCACTTTGGGAGGCTGAGGCGGGTGGATCACGAGGTCGAGAGATCGAGACCATCCTGGTCAACATGGTGAAACCCCGTCTCTACTAAAAATACAAAAAATTAGCTGGGCATGGTGGCTCATGCCTGTAATCCCAGCTACTCAGGAGGCTGAGGCAGGAGAATTGCCTGAACCCAGGAGGCGGAGGTTGCAGTGAGCCGAGATCGCGCCATTGCACTCCAGCCTGGGTAACAAGAGCGAAACTCCATCTCAAAAAAAAAGAAATACAGAAGAATGTTACAGAAACAGCTAAACTTGTTGAAAGTGATTGCCTATGAGCAACAGACTATGCATTTTTTTTTTTTTTTTTTTTTTTTGAGACAGAGTTTCGCCCTTGTTACCCAGGCTGGAGTTCAATGGCGCGATCTCGGCTCACCGCAACCTCCGCCTCCTGGGCTCAGGCAATTCTCCTGCCTCAGCCTCCTGAGTAGCTGGGATTACAGGCACGTGCCACCATGCCCAGCTAATTTTTTGCACTTTTAGTAGAGACGGGGTTTCACCATGTTGACCAGGATGGTCTCGATCTCTCGACCTTGTGATCCACCCGCCTCGGCCTCCCAAAGTGCTGGGATTACAGGCTTGAGCCACCGCGCCCGGCCAGACTATGCATTTTTAACAGGCAAAAGTAGCAGCAGTTTTTGGGTGTAAAGCATTGGGCATTCTCCTAGATGTGTATAAATTGCAATAACCCTGCAGGTAAATAACATCCATACCCTACTAATATAGGAGAAACCTAAGTCTCAAAAACTTAGGTAACCTGTCTACAGCAACACAGCTGGTATATGGAAGGGCTAAGAATCAAATTTAGATTTGTCTCTGCTCTTATTTTATGATTATTTTTTGAGACAGAGTCTTGCTCTGTCACCCAGGCTAGAGTAGTGTCGTGATCGCAGTTTACTGCAACCTCAGCCTCCCGGGTTCAAGCGATTCTCCTGTCTCACCCTCCCAAGTAGCTGGGATTACAGGAATGTACCACCACACCCAGCTAAATTTTGTTTTTACATTTAGTAGAGATGGGGTTTCACCATGTTGGCCAGGCTGGTCTCAAACTCTTGACCTCAAGTGATCTGCCTACCTGCCTCCCAGAGTGTTGGATTTACAGGCATGAGCCACTGCGCTGCCCTTTTTTTTTTTTTTTCTTGGTGCAACCTCCGCCTTCCAGGTTCAAGCGATTCTCCTCTCAGCCTCCCAAGCAGCTGGGATTATAGGCGCCCACCACCACACTAAGTTTTGCATTTTTTTTTTTTTTTTTTTTTTTGAGACAGAGTTTCGTTCTCGTTATCCAGGCTGGAGTGCAATGGCGCGATCTCGGCTCACAGCAACCTCCGCCTCCTGGATTCAGGCAATTCTTCTGCCTCAGCCTCCTGAGTAGCTGGGATTACAGGTACGCGCCACCATGCCCAGCTAATTTTTTGGATTTTTAGTAGAGACGGGGTTTCACCATGTTGACCAGGATGGTCTCGATCTCTTGACCTCGTGATCCACCGGCCTCAGCCTCCCAAAGTGCTGGGATTACAGGCTTGAGCCACTGCGCCCGACTGTTTTGCATTTTTAGTAGAGACAGGGTTTCACCTTGTTGGCCAGGTTGGTCTCAAACTCCTGACCTCAGGTGATCCACCCACCTTAGCCTCCCAAAGTGCTGGGATTACAGGCATGAGCCACCGCGCCCAACCTTTTTTTTTTTTTTTTGAGCCGAAATCTCACTCTGTTGCCCAAGCTAGAGTGCAGTGGTGTGATCTTGGCTCACTGCAACCTCTGCCTCCTGGGTTCAAGTGATTCTCTTGCCTGTCTCCTAAATAGGTGGGACTATAGGCGTGTGCTGCCATGCCTGGCTAATTTTTGTATTTTATTTATTTATTTATTCTTATTTTTTTATTTTTATTTATTTATTTATTTTGAGATGGAGTTTCACTCTTGATACCCAGGCTGGAGTGCAATGGCACGATCTCGGCTCACCGCAACCTCTGCCTCCTGGGTTCAGGCAATTCTCCTGCCTCAGCCTCCCGAGTAGCTGGGATTATAGGCACGCCCCACCATGCCCAGTTAATTTTTTGTATTTTTAGTAGAGACAGGGTTTCACCATGTTGACCAGGATGGTCTCGATCTCTTGACCTCGTGATCCACCAGCCTCGGCCTCCCAAAGTACTGGGATTACAGGCTTGAGCCACCGCGCCCGGCCATTTTTTAATTTTTTTAAAGATGGGGTTTCACTATGATGGCCACGCTGGTCTTGAACTCCTGACCTCAGGTGATCCACCCACCTCGGCCTCCCAAAGTGCTAAGATTACAGGCGTGAGCCACTGCGCCTGGCCCTAATTTTTGTATTTTTAGTAGAGATGGGATTTCACGATGTTGGCCAGGCTGGTCTCCAACTCCTGACCTCATGATCTGCCCACCTCAGCCTCCCAAAGTGCTAGGATTACAGGTGTGAGCCACCATGCCCGGCCCTCTTTTTTCTTTGGAAACAGGGTCATGCTCTGTAACCCAGGCTGGCGTGCAGTGGTGCAATTTTGTCTTTTTTTTTTTTTTTTTTGAGATGGAGTTTCACTCTTGTTACCCAGGCTGGAGTGCAATGGCGTGATCTCGGCTCACCGCAACCTCCGCCTTCTGGGTTCAAGCAATTCTCCTGCCTCAGCCTCCTGAGTAGCTGGGATTACAGGCATGTGCCACCATGCCCAGCTAATTTTTTGTATTTTTAGTAGAGACGGGGTTTCACCATATTGACCAGGATGGTCTCAATCTCTTGACCTTGTGATCCACCCGCCTCGGCCTCCCAAAGTGCTGGGATTACAGGTTTGAGCCACCGCGCCCAGCGCAATTTTGTCTTACTGCAACCTTGGCCTCCGAGGTTTAAGAACACCTCAGCCTCCCTAGTAGCGGGAACTACAGGGGCACACCACCACGCTCAGCTAATTTTGTAATTTTTTGCAGAGACAATGTCTCACTATATTGCCCAGGCTGGTTTAGAACTTCTGGGCTCCAGCAATCTTCCTGCCTCAGTCTCTGAAAAGGCATGAGCCACTGCATCTAGCCTGTCTGTGCTCTTAACCACTATGCTATACCAGTTCTCAGGAACCAGTGTCTGGGGTACCCAACCCCACCTTACCTCCTCCACATCTTCATCCAACTGCTCATTGGGATCCACTTCTCTTACTAAGTCCTGCAATTTCTTCTTGGTCAATACCTAAAGTTAATTGGGAGAAGATTTTTCAGCCAGGTATTAAGGAAACGAAATAGATCATTACCCTGTAATGAAGAAAGGCTGTCAAATTGTTGGGTTTAGTTTCCACTTTCCAAAGAGTTCACAGTCTGCCCTACCTGACTATGCTGCTATAAGACTATACTGTCAAGACAGAAGTAACTTAGAGAAAGGCAGAAAGAGCAGTTTGAAGACAGGCCAGCATCCAGCTGTCAGACACTATATTTCACCCTCATGTATTTTTTTTTTTCTTTTTTTTTTTTTTTCTTTGAGACAGAGTTTCGCTCTTGTTACCCAGGCTGGAGTGCAATGGCGCAATCTCGGCTCACCGCAACCTCCGCCTCCTGGGTTCAGGCAATTCTCCTGCCTCAGCTTCCTGAGTAGCTGGGATTACAGGCACGCGCCACCATGCCCAGCTAATTTTTTGTATTTTTCGTAGAGACGGGGTTTCACCATGTTGACCAGGATGGTCTCGATCTCTCGACCTCGTGATCACCCGCCTCGGCCTCCCAAAGTGCGGGGATTACAGGCTTGAGCCACCGCGCCCGGCCACCCTCATGTATTTTTCTCACTGTGCTTATCTACATGAAGAAATTTGCAATTCTCTGACCACCACAAATTGTACCATGCCCCTTGCCTTTAGTCAAGTTTTGTTTTTTTTTTTTTTTGAGACAGGGTCTCGCTCTATTGCCCACTGGAGTGGAATGGCATGATCATGGCTCACTGTTGCCTTGATTGACAAGTTCTCTCACCTAAGCTTCCCAGGTAGCTGGGACCATAGGCACATGCCACCACACCTGGCTACTTTATTATTTTTTTTGAAGAGATGGGCTCTCACTATGTTGTACAGCCTGCTCTTAAACTCCTGGGCTCAAGTGATTCTTCCACCTTGGCCTTCCAAAGTGCTATACATGCTCTTCCTCCCTTCTTCCTACATGTTCAGCTCATGGTGCCTCTTTGTGATGCCTTTCCTAGCCCATCCCAGTATAAGTAACCACTTCCTCGTTTGGCCTCTATTGTACCTTGTGCACCCTTTTTCATTGTCCATATTTGTACACTTCCCTGTTTCTGACTCAATTAGCTAAAACTCTCTGAGGGCAGCCTTCATAAAGGAAACGTCATGTTACATATGTATGCCATTAAAAAGTGATCAAGCTCCTTCCTCCCCACTCGTCGGATAAAATAAAAATAAAATTTAAAAAGTAATCAAAAGAATGGCTGGGCACGGTGGCTCAAGCCTGTAATCCCAGCACTTTGGGAGGCCGAGGCGGGTGGATCACGAGGTCAGGAGATCGAGACCATCCTGGTCAACATGGTGAAACCTCGTCTCTACTAAAAATACAAAAAAAAAAAAAATTAGCTGGGCATGGTGGTGCACGCCTGTAGTCCCAGCTATTCGGGAGGCTGAGGCAGGAGAATTGCTTGAATCCAGGAGACGGAGGTTGCGGTGAGCCAAGATCACGTCATTGCACTCCAGCCTGGGTAACAAGAGTGAAACTCCATCTCAAAAAAAAAAAAAAAAAAAAAAAAAAAAAATTAGCTGGGCATGGTGGCGCATGCCTGTAATCCCAGCTACTCAGGAGGCTGAGGCAGGAGAATTGCCTGAACCCAGGAGGCGGAAGTTGCGGTGAGCCGAGATTGCACCATTGCACTCCAGCCTGGGTAACAAGAGTGAAACTCCGTCTCAAAAAAAAAAAAGTAATCAAAAGAAAGCCAGGCACAGTGATCTGTGCCTGTAGTCCCAGGTATTCAGGAAGCTGAGACAGGAGGATCACTTGAGGCCATGAGTTAAAGACTGCATCGTGCCACTACACTCCAGCCTGGGGACCACAGCAAGCCCTCCACCTGTAATCTGAGCACTTTGGGAGGTTGAGGCAGGCGGATCATGAAGTCAGGAGTTCGAGACCAGCCTGGCCAACATGGTGAAACTCCATCTCTACTAAAAAATATAAAAATTAGTTGGGCATGGTGGTGGGCACCTGTCGTCCCAGCTGCTCAGGAGGCAGAGGCAGGAGAATCACTTGAACCCAGGAGGTGGAGGTTGCAGTGAGCTGAGATCATGCCACTGCACTCCAGCCTGGGTGACACAGTGAGACTCCATATAAAAAAACAACAACAAAAAGGGCTGGGTACAGTGGCTCACGTCTGTAATCCCAGCACTTTGAGAGGCTGAGGTGAGCGGATCACGAAGTCAAAAGATCAAGACCATCCTGGCCAACTCGGTGAAACACTGTCTCCACTAAAAATACAAAAAGAATAGCTGGGTGTGTTGGCGCTCCCCTGTAGTCCCAGCTACTCAGGAGACTGAGGTAGGAGAATTGCTTGAACCCGGGAGGCGAAGGTTACAGTGAGCCGAGATCATGCCACTGCACTATAGCCTGGGGGGACAGAGCAAAACTGTCTCCAAAAAAAAAAAAAAGAAAGGGCCAGGTACAGTGGCTCACACCTGTAATCCCACTAGCACTTTGGAAGGCCGAGGCGGGAGGACTGCCTAAAGTCAGGTATTTGAAACCAGCCTAGGCAACATGGCAAGACTGCATCTCTATTTAAAAAAAAATCTAAACATATATATATATACATATATATAGGGCCGGGCGCGGTGGCTCAAGCCTGTAATCCCAGCACTTTGGGAGGCCGAGGCGGGTGGATCACGAGGTCAAGAGATCGAGACCATCCTGGTCAACATGGTGAAACCCTGTCTCTACTAAAAAAAAATACAAAAATTTAGCTGGGCATGGTGGCACATGCCTGTAATCCCAGCTACTCAGGAGGCTGAGGCAGGAGAATTGCTTGAACCCAGGAGGCGGAGGTTGCGGTGAGCCGAGATCGTGCCATTGCACTCCAGCCTGGGTAACAAGAGCGAAACTCCGTCTCAAAAAAAAAAAAAAAAAAAAAAAATATATATATATATATATATATTTATAAAATTTTTAAAAATTAGGCACTTTTCTTTCTTTCTTACTCTAAAGCTTCTAGTAAAATTCCACTAAAAAAAAAAAGAGAACGAAAGAGGGGAAAAAAAAAAAAGACATACACTAAAATGTTAACCATGGCTATTTTATGGTGGTGGCATTAGAATTATGGGCTATTTATTTTTTGTGTATTTCTGCAGCTTCTGTAATAAACATGTATAATTTTTGAAGTAAGAAAAAAAGAAAATAATTTTTTTTTGTTTGTTTTTTTGAGGCAGAGTTTTGCTCTTATTACCCAGGCTGGAGTGCAATGGCTTAATCTCGGCTCACTGCAACCTCTGCCTCCCGGGTTCAAGCGATTTTCTTGCTTCAGCCTCCTGAGTAGCTGGGATTATAGGCATGTGCCACCACACCTGGCTAATTTTGTATTTTTAGTAGAGACGGGGTTTCTCCATGTTGGACAGGCTGGTCTCGAACTCCCAACCTCAGTTGATCTGCCCACTTGGCCTCCCAAAGTGCTGGGATTACAGATATGAGCCACCATGCCTGACTGAAAATAATTTTCTTTTTTTTTTTTTTTTTTTTTTTTTTTTTCTGAGACGGAGTTTCGCTCTTGTTACCCAGGCTGGAGTGCAATGGCGCGATCTCGGCTCACCGCAACCTCCGCCTCCTGGGTTCAGGCAATTCTCCTGCCTCAGCCTCCTGAGTAGCTCGGATTACAGGCATGTGCCACCATGCCCAGCTAATTTTTTGTATTTTTAGTAGAGACGGGGTTTTCACCATATTGACCAGGATGGTCTCGATCTCTTGACCTCGTGATCCACCCGCCTCGGCCTCCCAAAGTGCTGGGATTACAGGCTTGAGCCACCGCGCCCGGCCGACTGAAAATAATTTTCTAAAATGAATATTCAGCTGGGCGTAGTGGCTCACATCTGTAATCCCAGAATTTTGGGAGGCAGAGGAGGGAAGATCACTTGAGGCCAGCCTGGGCAACACAGCAAGACCTTGTCTCTACAAAAAAAAAAAAAAAAAAAAAAAAAATTAACCAAGTATGATGGTGCATGCCTATGGTTCTAGCTATTCAGGAGGCTGAGGTGGGAAGATTGCTTGAACCCAGAAATTTGAGGCTATAGTGAGCTATGACTATACCATTGCACTCTAGCCTGGGCAACAGAGCAAAACCCTTTCTCTAAAAAATAAATCAGTATTTGTTAATGATGTCTCATATCTATCCATTCTTCTTCATTCTTTTTTTTTTTTTTTTTTGAGACGGAGTTTCGCTCTTGTTACCCAGGCTGGAGTGCAATGGCACGATCTCGGCTCACCGCAACCTCCGCCTCCTGGGTTCAGGCAATTCTCCTGCCTCAACCTCCTGAGTAGCTGGGATTACAGGCACGCGCCACCATGCCCAGCTAATTTTTTGTATTTTTAGTAGAGACGGGGTTTCACCATGTTGACCAGGATGGTCTCGATCTCTTAACCTTGTGATCCACCCGCCTCAGCCTCCCAAAGTGCTGGGATTACAGGCTTGAGCCACCGCGCCCGGCCATTCTTCTTCATTCTATCCTAATCATCTAATTCAAGCCTTCACTACATGTCTTGATTTTTTTTTCTTTTTTGAGACGGAGTTTCGCTCTTGGTACCCAGGGTGGAGTGCAATGGCGCAATCTCGGCCCACCACAACTTCCGCCTCCTGGGTTCAGGCAATTCTCCTGCCTCAGCCTCCTGAGTAGCTGCGATTACAGGCACGCGCCACCATGCCCCACTAATTTTCTGTATTTTTAGTAGAGATGGGGTTTCACCATGTTGACCAGGATGGTCTCGATCTCTTGACCTCATGATCCACCCGCCTCGGCCTCCCAAAGTGCTGGGATTACAGGCGTGAGCCACTGTGCCCGGCCACATGTCTTGATTTATTGCAAAAGTCTTAGAATTGGTCATCCACCCAGTCTAACTCCGTTTTCTACCCATCCTGTCCCCTTACTGCCAAGTTACTCCTCTCTAGGACACACTATTTTTATTATATACTTTTACTTCATTATTAAGTATCTGCAAAGATTGTATATTACCTAAAAGTTCCAATGGAAACTTACTAGTACAGAGTCATTATGTTCTGCCATAACCATACCTATACAATTTTTTTTTTTTTTTGAGGCAGAATTTCTCTCTTGCTGCCCAGGCTGAAGTGCAATGTCAGGATCTCAGCTCATGGCAACCTCCACCTCCCGGGTTCAAGCGATTTTCCTGCCTCAGCTTCCCAAGTAGCTGGGAATACAGGCATGCGCCACCATGCCTAGGTAATTTTGTATTTTTAGTAGAGATGGGGTTTCACCATGTTGGCCAGGATAGTCTTGATCTCCATGTTGCTTAGGCTCCTCTCGAACTCCCGACCTCAGGTGATCCGCGTGCCTCAGCCTCCCTAAAGTGCTGGGATTACAAGCTTGAGCCACCATGCCCAGCTACCTATACAATTTTAAATTCTGTCTTCTACAACAGACTCCATATTCAAAAGAGGCTGATCTCCTGATTGTCTGCCCAACCATCCCTCATTAACCTTTGCCAGTTCCTTCACTCATTCCCTTGAAATACTGGGCCAACTCATTCATTTTTTCTACACAGCCTACGAAACCCAAGTCAAAGAGATTATACTTATTTCTTGTGGCTCTGGAGGCAAAATCAGAATTATGGGTAGAAAGAAGGGAGCAGATTTTAGAATCACTGCAGAAAATTAATAATGGCAGGAATTGGATGAACTAGAAGATGGAATGGCTAGAACCAAGAGTATTTCCATCATAGGAAAAATGAATCAATTACGTTATTTAACAACTATACAGTTAACATATATATAAAACACCTATCAAAATGAAAGAAAAAACCTATCACAGGCAAGGTATTGTGTTAGTGTGTATGGATGGATGGATGTATACATGCATATACACAACAATATACAACAAAGTAAAACTTGACAAACACTGTACATGATAATTTGCTCAAGAATGTTAGAGGAGCATATATTCAGGGCAAATTGAATCTCTGCCTCCTGAGTTGGGGTTCTCAAATTGGCCCAAATAAACTCTCTACTTACATTAAAACAAACAAACTTGACTAGCCTTAATAAAACAAACAAATACGTCTGTAATCCCAGCACTTTGGGAGGCCGAGGCGGGTGGATCACAAGGTCAAGAGATCGAGACCATCCTGGTCAACATGGTGAAACCCCATCTCTTCTAAAAATACAAAAAATTATCTGAGGGCCGGGTGCAGTGGCTCAAGCCTGTAATCCCAGCTACTCAGGAGGCTGAGACAGGAGAATTGCCTGAACCCAGGAGGTGGAGGTTGCAGTGAGCCGAGATTGCGCCATTGCACTCCAGCCTGGGTAACGAGAGCAAAACTCTGTCTCAAAAAAAAAAAAAAAAAAAAATTATCTGGGCATGGTGGCGCGTGCCTGTAATCCCAGCTACTCAGGAGGCTGAGGCAGAAGAATTGCCTGAACCCAGGAGGCAGAGGTTGCAGTGAGCCAAGATCGCGCCATTGCACTCCAGCCTGGGTAACAAGAGTGAAACTCCGTCTCAAAACAAACAAACAAACAAACAAACAAACAAAAAGAAAGTTAGAAATCCACAAGAGGGAAAAGACCTTTTCAGCTAAAAGAAAAAGGCAGCATGCCAGGCGCGGTGGCTCACACCTGTAATCCCAGCACTTTGGGAGGCCAAGGTGGGTGGATCACGAGGTCGAGATTGAGACCATCCTGGTCAACATAGTGAAACCCCGTCTATACTAAAAATACAAAAAATTAGCTGGGCATGGTGGCACATGCCTGTAATCCCAGCTACTTAGGAGGCTGAGGCAGGAGAATTGCCTGAACCCAGGAGGCGGAGGTTGCGGTGAGCCAAGACTGCGCCATTGCACTCCAGCCTGGGTAACAAGAGCGAAAACTCCGTCTCAAAAAAAAAAAAAAAAAAAAAAAAAGAAAGAAAAAGGCAGCATATAAGATAGACATCTCTTAAGTATTACAGGTTGAAATAACAGGTAAGAGGTGGCTACAGGGAAGAAAGAGTAAGAGGATGATACCTGATTGTTTTCAGGGCTAAGACGACCTCCTGTTCCAGGAGTGCCTGGTATCTTTACCACTGTAGTACTATTGGCCATGGAGCCTTGTGGAGGGGTGCTGGCTGGTTCCGGTTTTATGGATGAGAAATTGGAGAGGTTGATTAGGGTTGAGGGGCCAAACTGGTTCATAATCTGCCGAGCTTTGGACTTCAGCTCATAGAGCTTATCGAGATCCTGTTTCTTTTTGGAGCTGTGAGGACCAAGGCCAATTAACTGAAGAAGAAAAGCACAAGAATTAGTTCTAGAAGAACCTGTAATAAAGGATGAGCCTTGAGAGTAAAAAGAGGCCTGCTGCAATGGTTTACAACTGTAATCCCAGCACTTTGGGAGGGCCAGGTGGGCAGATCACTTGAGGCCAGTAGTTCAAGACCAGCCTGGGCAACATAGCGAGACCTCATCTCTACCCAAAAAAAAAAAAAAAAAAAAAAGTAAGTAAAATCAGGTCTGTTAGACTTTGAGAGTTCTTCAGTATATATGAAATAGTGACCATTTAATACCTACATGTTAAAAATTGAGGGAATCAAGAATGGTTATTGCTTTCACCTGACGTTTAGAAACCATCTCTTCTCTAAATGTTAAATAAATTTGTCCACAAAATTGAAACAAGGAAGAAAGTAAATGAAATAAGGAAACTTATGTACAAAAATAAACTAGGGTTGGGTGCAGTGGCTCATTGTAATCCCAGCACTTTGGGTGCCTGAAGTGGATCACTTGAGCCCAGGAGTTACAGAATAGCCTGGGCAATATAGAGAAGCCCTATCTGCAAAAACTTAGCTGGGGCTGGGCTTGGTGGCTCACGCATATAATCCTAGCACCTTCGGAGGCCAAAGTGGATGGATTACCTGAGGTCAGGAGTTCGAGATGAGCCTGACCAACATGGTGAAACCCTATCTCTACCAAAAATACAAAAAAATTGGCTGGGCATGGTGGCACACTCCTGTAATCCCTCCCAGCTACTGGGAAGGCTGAGGCAGGAGAATCATTTGAACACAAGAGACAGAGCTTGCAGTGAGCCAAGAACGTGCCACTGTACTCCAGCCTCGGCAACAGAATGAGACTCTGTCTCAACAAACAAACCAAACAAAAAACCACTTAGGGGCCAGGCATGGTGGCTCACGCCTATAATCCCAGCACTTTGAGAGGCCCAGGCAGGCAGATCATCTGAGGCTGGGAGTTCGAGACCAGCCTGGCCAACATGAAGAAACCCTGTCTCTACTAAAAATACAAAATTAGCCAGGCATGTTAGCATATGTAATCCCAGCTACTCGAGAGGCTGAGGCAGGAGAACTGCTTGAACCTGGAAGGCAGAGGGTGCGTTGAACTGAGATTGCACCATTGTACTCCAGCCTGGGCAACAAGAGTCAAATTCTATCTCAAAAAAAAAAAAAAAAAAAAAAAAAAAAAAAAAAAAAAAAAAAAAATCCCACTTAGCTGGACCCACTTAGCATGTAGTCCTAGCTACTCGGGAGGCTAAGGGAGGAGGATTGCCTGAATCCAAGAAGTTGAGGCTGCAATGAGGTATGATCATACCACCACTGCACTCCAGCCTAAGTGACAGAGTGAGACATTGTCTAAAAATAAAATGAAACAAAATAAAATAAACTAGAATAAGCAAGACATTTTTGAGAACTTTGTAAAAATAGTTAAGTACTACATGCATTATTTTTAAAGTATCAAATAATGTTAAATTCAAATAAGTCATGGCACAATCGCATCCTTTAAAAAAATCAGTCACAAAGCTTAACAATACAGACTAGTTCATTTTGGCATTTCAAACATGCTTAAGTCAATGTCAGGGGTATGCCCCAAAAACGTAACTTTAAGCTGTTGTTAAAAGTAAACTCCTTTTCATTAAGAGCAATTTTTCTCTGAGTGTTAGCAATCTAAGTACATGCAGGGACCCTAGCCTGAAGCAGCTGAGACTCCTGAATCTTACAGCCATGAGGTTTACTCTGTGGACGTCAGCTTGGGTGTCATGACAATCAGAAGCACATTCACCAAGTTTTGCCCACAGTAGCCTCAAACTTACTTACAGCTATCTGAGTGTCTAGATCTTTAATTACATCAGCAACAGCTGTGAGCCCGGTGAAATGAGAGGCAGCCATTTTCAAAAGCTACCTGTAAATGAACAACTAGCATCAAGCGATATCCTTGCCATGGAATCATTTTAGTTGCACGGCCTGGTACATCTTTACCAACCAGGAACCAAGCAAACTGGATGTGGAAAAATGTATCTCCTTTTCCTCAGTGGGAGCCAAGACAAACATCTCCACCTCTTTTATAAGCAACTTTGAAAATTAATTAATGATGATTATGGCACATATAAACCATCTTCGTTTTTTTTTTAGACGGAGTCTCGCTCTGTCACCAGGCTGGAGTGCAGTGGCGCGTTCTCAGTTCACTGCAACCTCCACCTCCTGGGATCAAGCATTTCTCCTGCCTCAGCCTCCCAAGTAGCTGGGACTAGAGGCACATGCCACCAAGCCCAGCTAATTTTTGTATTTTTAGTAGAGATGGGGTTTCACCATGTTGGCCAGGATGGTCTCAATCTCTTAACTTCATAATCCACCCACCTCCGCCTCCCAAAGTGCTAGAATTACAGGTGTAAGCCACTGCACCCAGCCTAGACCATCTTCTTATAAAATGAATGTCTGTTATCAGGGATAAGCTCACAGCATATGGAATATTTTATTGGGCAAAATTGTGGGAATATGAACCTGCAGAAGTTATGTCAATGACTTTCACAACTCGGTAAAAGCTGGCAAAAAAAAAAAAAAAAAAAAGCTGGCAACATAAATGTCTATCTGTATCTATTCTACTCTTTTCCCTAGTGCTGAGTTCTTCCTCAACACACTGTCTGACTTTCTAATATGAGAAATCTGGCCTGGCCCAGTGCCTCACGCCTGTAATCCCACCACCGTGGGAGGCCAAGGCAAGCAGATCACTTGAGGTTAGGAGTTTTGAGACCAGCCTGGACAACATGTTGACACCTGGTATCTACTAAAAATACAAAAACTAGCCAATAGTCAGGCCTGGTGGCAAGTGTCTGTAATCTCAGCTACTTGGAAGGCTGAGGCAAGAGAACTGCTTGAACTCAGGAGGTAGAGTTTGCAGTGAGCTGAGATCAGGCCACTGCACTCCGGCTTGAGCGACAGAACGAGACTCTCAAAAAAATAATAGTAACAGTAATATAAGAAGTCATGTTCTCCTGGTTTACTCTCAATAAAAGCAACTAAGTATGTACTGGTTTAAAAAAAAAAAAAAAAAGATAAACTAGGCTGACTTGCTGGCCAAGAACCAGCTGAAAGGGACAGCAGAGTATTAGGATCACTTGGTTGTTTTAACCATATGTCGCCTCCTTCTCCCCTTCTCTCCTATCAACAAACATTACCAATAGAAGAGTCAGCAGAGAAACCTTTCTTAACATGCTAATAGCTGTTCTAATATTATAAAAGCTAACTATTTTCCCAGCACAAGTTCTATGGAAAAGCCCCATTAAAGATTATCAAACTGTATCCTCATCACTCTAGCCTCACACTGAACATACTACATCTCTCAAAACACTCCCACAACCTTCAAGGGACTTCCCAAATAATACTGAGTATCACACAAAATAAGTGGAGACATTTTATAATAAAGATTTTTGAATGAGAATTTCTGTTATAACATCTGGAGACATAGCTGGGTCTAGTGCTATGCACCTGTAACCCCAGCTACTCAGGGAGCTGAGTTAGGAGTACTGCTTGAGCCCAGGAGTTTGAGGTTAGACTTGGCAACATTATGAGACACTGTCTCAATCCTTCTCTTTCTCTCTTTCTCTTTCTTTCTCTCTCTCTCTCTCTCTCTCTTTTTAATTTTAAGACAAGGTCTCATTCTGCAAGCCAGGCTAGAGTGCAGGGGTGCAATCATGATTGTCTGTAGCCATGAACTCGTGGACTCAAGCAACTTTCCCATCTCAACCTCTTAAGTAGCTAGGACTACAGATGCACACCACTGCACCCAGCTAATTTTTTTTTTTTTTTTTTTTTTTTTTTTGGTAGAGATGGGGTCTTGCTATGCTACCCAGGCTGGTCTCAAACACCTGGCCTCAAGCAATTCTGCCTCAGCCTACCTGAGTCTGAAATTACAGGCTTGGGCCACCACCACACTCAGTCCTGTCTCTTTAAATTTTTTTTTTGAGAGGAGTCTGACTTTATCACTGAGGCTGAAGTGCAATGGCGCAGTCTCAGCTCACTGCAACCTCCGCCTCCTGGGTTCAAGCAATTATCTTGCCTCAGCCTCTCGAGTGGCTGGGACTACAGGCATATGCCACCATGCTCACCTAATTTTTCTATTTTTAGTAGAGACGGGGTTTCACAATGTTGGCCAGGCTAGTCTAGAACTCTTGACCTTGTGATCCACCTGCCTTGGCCTCCCAAAGTGCTGGGATTACAGGCATGAGCCACCACGCCCGCCTCTTTAAAAATTTTTTTTAGGGCTGGGTGTGGTGGCTCATGCCTGTAATCCCAGCACTTTGGGAGGTCAAAGTGGGCAGATCACTTGAGACCAGGCGTTGGAGACCAGCCTGGCCAACATGGTGAAACCTCTCTCTACTAAAATTATAAAAGATTAGCTGGGCATGGTGGCAGGCACCTGTAATCCAGCTACTGGAGGCTGAGGCAAGAGAATCCCTTGAACCCAGGAGGCAGAGGGTGCAGTGGGCCGAGACCTTAGGATTTGGAGACAAAAAAATACAGCCTATCTACATAGTACCAAATATGAATATTCACATTACCAAACTAGGATTTTTTTTGTTTTCTTGTTTCCAGTGAGGTTGAATGAAATTAGGAAATAACCTTAAGGAATAGCTCCAATGTCACTTTAATGAAATAAGTGGAGGCTGGGCACGGTGGCTCATGCCTGCAATCACAGCATTTTGGGAGGGTGAGGCAGGTAGATCACTTGAGGTCAGGAGTTTGAGACCAGCCTGGCCAACATCGTGAAACCCCGTCTCTACTAAAAACAGGTAGATTAGCCAGGCATGGTGGCATGTGCCTGTAATCCCAGCTAGTCAGGAGGCTGAGACATGAACCTGGGAGGCAGAGGTTGCACTGAGCCGAGATAAGGCCATTGCACTCCAGCCCTGGCGACAGTGAGACTCCGTCTCAAAAAAAAAAAAAAAAGGAAAAAAGAAAGAAGAAAGAAGTAAATGGAACTTCTGGGGAAGGGAAAAA